TCAAAGCAGTTATGTAAGTGACATCCTGTTCCGAAAGCTTAGGTTTTAGTTTATAGTCCATGTAAACAGGAACATGTTTATTTCTGTGCTAATCATAAAATCTTCATAGTATATTGGTAAAGTGAATGAATCTTAGCTTTTGAGTATTTAAACTTTTTAAACAGAGTTTAAAATAGGGCTGATTTTGAGCACTTCATTGCCAGCATGATTTAGAATAAACTACCAGTGTCAGGGAGCTCCAGAGAAAGTGGTATCTTGATCCTGAATGTTTTGGGCATGATCCAGCTGCATTTTAAGCACTTTCCTGATACACTGAGAGATAATACACTTAACTCCTCCACTAAAAATCAATGCATTTTAAAATGTTTTGTCTGAATTGCACTCATTAATCAGGAGTAAATTGCACTGACACTAGAGGAATTGAGTTCCATATATTACCAGAGTGCACACCTGTGATCTCAAGCACATTTATGTGAAGTAATTGTCATTAAGTTGAATGTTATTCTTTAGTGTATCAGGAAAGTGCATCGTTAAAGTTTTTTTTTTTTTTTTACAAATATTGAGGTAAATTTGTCTTCAATATTTGTGTTGAAGTAGGTGACCTTCAAGAGAGAGTTGTCTAATGTGGCCAAGGATCCTCAAGTTTGCTTGCATTAAGACTCCTCGGCCTACTCCTCAGGTGTAGTGGTGAGCCCTTAGCCCTCTCCCAAGTTAGCTGAGGAATTATCCCTGTGATCTCTGTTCAGCTGCGTGGTCTGATGTACTGCATTTGGCAAAGAAGAATGTTTTGTAAAGTGGTGCAATCCATGCACTTTGGTAGTTCCAGGTCAGCTCATTTTGTTGGCACTAAGCATTGCATTTCCTCTTGTATTTCTCAAGTCTTGACACTGGACTATTGTTTACTGTTTCCACCTTCTTCATTACTACTGGGTCTGTGTTGCTAATCATATATCCTTCTTGATTGATTGATTGATTGATTGATTGCATTTGTATGCCGCCCAATTGTGCCACAGCACCTCTGGGTGGCTCACAACGCAATAAAAACACAATAAAACCCATAACACATTAAAACCAAAAATAAAATACAGCAGAATGTACAAAACAAAGGTATATGACAGTTATTAAAATATTTTTTTTAAAAAGGAAGGTCATCTTAAAATTTAGAATTGAGCTGCATCATTGGTTCAAACCCAAGTATTCCAGCTTAACTGGTTTATTGATAGATTCCAGGGTGTCATAAAGCAGTATGACAAATTGTGTTGTTAAATGCTATTTTTAAATACACTTTAAACTAGGCAAAATATGCAGTGGTGATTTATGGAACAATTCTTATACAGCACAGTCCTATGTACATGGCTACTTAGAGGTAAGGCTGATTGCTAAACTTTATCAACTATAATACTTAAGAGACTTAAGTAACTAAGCTGTATTAAATTAAGGCTGTAATGCAAAATGCATTGTTGCTGATGTCACTGTGTAAGGTATAAGCAATTTGGTCCATGTGTGTTGACAATTATGGAAGTAAATTAATGCTTAAAATTGAAATAAAGTTTTCAGAAATGAGTAGAATGGGTGTTCTGCATGCAAATGTGGGACTTATTTTTACTTTCTGTGCACTATCCTTTGGTTATGAGGGCCATTGAACTGCTCACACAAACAGCATATTGCATTTGAGCTAGGTGTTCACAAAAGTCAATGGAATGGATATTTTACCATTTTAAAAGTTGGGGTACTTGCTGACTAAGTAGTTTCAGTGTTTGATTGCAACCTTTTGTATCAACAGGTTATGTTCCAGGGTATGGATTGAATCCAGAATGACATAAGCAGAAGTGTGTGTTCCCTTCCTTGAGAGCAGATTTAGGAGACACGTGGGGGTGTAGTGGGGAGGTAAAATCCATTCTGTTAGTGTATAGCCCATGTTGCATGTAGATTGTTCTTGAGGAATAAGGGAAATAGTGCATTCTTTGTTACAGAATTGTTCAGTATAGATTTTTATCTAGGTATATATTTCTATTTTATCAGAACACATGGTATTCTGTATATATTTTCTAATTCAGTTTCTACTCTTAAACTGGAGAAGTAATATTAGAGTACAGCAGTCTCTATATATGGTGTAGTGTTCAAAAGGATATTCCTTCAGCCAAATATTTCTTTGGCTGTTAACAAGCATGCTGCAAGTATGTATTGTGATACTACATGCTCAGATTTGCTTGTGAGATTTTCCATTTCAGTGGTTACAGCAATCCAGCTCTCATGCAAAGTTCTGAGTCATACTTATGTAAATAATATAGGAAAAGTTGTTATCCATAGTAGCCAGTCATGAAATATGGCAGGTAGTAAACTAATTTCCTGAATATCAACCTGCACTAATATGGAAAAGAAATGAATTAGTTTTGTTTGTTGGGTTGTTTTTTGTTTTTGTTTTTTAATACAGGCCATCACTGTTGAATAAGCTTTGTGTGGGCTACAAAGGCACTGTCTCAAGAAGTTTACATTTAAGGAGAGAGAGTGACTTTCAGATTGATTAAGGACTGTGAAAGATTACATTCTAATATTAAATTTAATGTTTAATAAACAGGTTTGCAAAATATTAAAAAGGAATTTCCTTTTCATTTGCTATATCACATCCAGACTTGCCCCTCCATAAATGAAAAGGTTGTTTTGTGTGTGGAGGAAGCCAGGATACAGTGGAGGGAGGCAAAACAGGGATTGTTTCTTATTCCTCCTTTCCCCTGCATTTACCAGCAGTGCCTTCCACACTGCTCCATAGGGTGCAGAGAACTTGATGAAAATCACCATCTCCTTCTTCCAGTATAAACAGAACTCTGCTGAGTTTGAGTATGGATCTAACTCAAAATATTTGCCCAAGTCACATACAATATTTAATGTAATTCTGTTTTGTTTTGCATGGTTTCATAGCTTTCACAAAAGTATTTAATCATATATGACACAGCTATTGGACAGTACCTGAACTGAAACTGGGGTCAACTGCTAATTCTGTTCTATAGGTGACACTGATTGCTTGCACAATGGGGCTTTAGTGTTTCCTTTAGGGCACCCCAAAATTAGTAAAAATGCTAATTTCCGGATCAGAACAGGTTGTTGATGCTCCTTAATGTGTATTCTCATTTGCAGCCCCTGGAGGAAGTGCTTAATCCCCAGTGGGAACCATTTACAGAATGGAATTGATGGTGAGCTCCTTTGCTCAATGGCCTATTTGGGTATTGCCCAAACAGTGGTTTAAACTTTTAATACAGTGTGTCATGTATGATAAAGTGAGAAGCTCTATTCATGTGTTCAAATCATGTGTGGACTCCAAAGGGAAGATGGGGAGGGGATGTGCTTGATAGCTTTGTTAGCATGTTTGGTGGGCCCTGCCTTTTTAGTCATCAGTTTTGCTGTATGAATTGGTGTGGTCTGAAGCAGAATTCTACTTGTATTCAGTAGAATCTGTGTTGTGCATGCTGAGAGATTGTGAACATGTTCTTTAGAATACAAAGAATGTTATCACCCCTCAAGGCAATGTTAGCATGGTTTGCAGCCAAAAAAGGCCCTTCATTAAAAAAAACTATTCTCACAGGTAATAAAATGTAAAAATAAGACTATGGAGAGCCTTGCTGTGTCAGACCAAGGTTCCATTTAATCTTGTCTTCTGTTCACACAGTGGCCAGCCAGCTGCCAGTGGGATACCTATTGTTTGCCTGCCTCTTGCCCGTCACTCTTAAAGGACAGTATGGACCAGTTCACAGAGGGCATCAGCCTTGCAATGGGTTGTTAGACCCACAATGAGCTATAGTGCATGTTGGCCACATGCCGCTGTCATTATGAACATGCAACCCCCAATGGGATTGTGTCATGTTGTCCAGACTTGGCAACTATGAGTCAATCAACAATCTTATTGGCTGAGAGCAATGCAATGTTCTTTTCAAGCCTTGAATGACCCATAGTAGCTGAGTTTGGACAACATGGTGCAACCCCAACCCTATTGGGAGTTGCACATTCATACTAGCAGGTGCAAAAGATGAGCATACCTTGTGGGTGGCCTGGCTTATCATGCAGCCTGGGTCTGTGTAACCTGGGAGTTCTGGGTCCTGTTTCACTAGCACAGTCTTTTTAGCTGCCTGTATTGTCTTTCTCTAGCTTTGGCTCATGAATGAAGCACAACTAATTTCTGGCAGAGATTTTGCCTCAGTTGCCCATACTTTGATGACTTCCTTTCTTGCTTGTTACAGCATACTCTGTGTGAGAATGCCTTTGAAACCAGTTTTGGCGCTCTAGCTAATGCAGACTTCTGTGGTGCATTTGCTGGTAATAAAGAGCTGCATGGACCATGTTAGTCATGTTTTGGTTTACTTATTTGGTTCCAAGATCTTGACTCAATTCAAAGTGTTTTGTTATTTTTACACTCACTTCTGTTACTTTTTAAAACCCTACATGATCTAGATTCTGTGTACCTTTGGGGTCATCTTTACACATTATTTTTCTCATTATACCCTTAATGCTTTTCAGAAGACACAGCTTCATGCCCTGGCTTTTACAGTAGTGAAAATGTGATTGTCATTCCAGTGTAATATTTTTAATTGTACATTTTTATTGATATCCCACCTTGGGGGTGGGGGGGGAGGTGCTAGGCTGAGAGTAACTGATCATTTGTAGTCTAAATGAAAATTTTCTAGGTGCTTTATCATAACTAGCTATTGTAGATCTTTTAAAGTGTGTTTAAATTGTGCTTCTGCTGTGATTTTATTAGTACTACTTTATATTGTGCACTGCTTTGACAGCAGAGAAATACTAGAAAGAAGTGGTGTTCCAAAACACTTCCCTCTTTTGGTATGCTTTGGTGTGGTGTTGTGTGATGATTTTTTATTTTGAGAAACAAATACTTAAATTGAGCTTTGGAGGGGCAGAAATATTCCAGGCATCCTGGTCCTCAGGATATGAATAATTATGGCAGTATATGTTTCTCATATACATGCTAGAAGAGCATGTTTTGTAATGTGAATAGAATTGACTTACCATACAGGGATGCATTTTAGTTGCAATCTCATTCTGGACAACTGCTTTCACTTATAGAGCATGCAGGCTTGTGTGGCTTTAACTGCTTCCATGATGACTAAAAAGAAATCTAAGAATGCTCATAATGTTTGCATTCAGTTCACTACTGTACAGCTGCTTATATGTAATACTAATGAGGCACATTGTAGCAATGTTCCCCACTTTGGTCCAGTATTACTTGCAAGGCCTGCTATGTTTGTATGAAGTCCCAATGGGCAGGGATGATGGGTCTTATATAAAGGTATATGCAGCTGACATGGCCAGTGATCAGACCTGAAGAGAGTTGTCATCCACCATCAAGGACCTGAGTTGAGAATCACTAAGATGACTACAGAATTTTCTTTGGTGTGGAGAACAACTAGGTGACATATTTGAGAGACTGAAGATTGCCCCTGCTATTTAGCATTGGCAGTTGCTTCTGAATATTAGTAGGGGTTTGTCTTCTTTTGAAGAAAGGTGCTGCTTTCCATGAAGTTATCTGATTTAACTGACGGAGCTGGGGACTCTGGTTTGGCTGAATGATATATCTTGGGATCCAGTTTTGTGGAGAAAATCCAGTGATCGGCTCTACCTTCATGGTTGCATCATCTCATTAACACATTTTTATTGAATTGTTTTATGTGCTATTGCGGTTTTAAATTGTTCAAAGCTGTTCTGAGTGGTGCATGGAGACATCTCTGTATAAAGAAAAATATACCTGTTCATGTATGATTGCTTCATAATAAAAGTGGCTAAGCATGTGGCCACCTGTAAAGGACACCTGAGCATTCTAATGTATTTAACAACACCAACAGTAGTCTTAGTAGTAGAGGACTTGAGAGAAGTTCTTAGAGAAACCTGTCTTGTTGAATCCCACTAGCCCCAGGAGAGCTTCAGCATCAGCTGAATTAAAGTAGTTGGCTTGCAGACTCCACAGTCCCATCTCCTTACATTTCCTCCTTTTCCTGAATTTAGATCTTCTTCCTTTCCTCCACTCATTTCCAGTTCTTCTTGTATTATCTTTGAACCCATACTCTGGTTTATATCAGAATTTCTGCAGCTAGTATTCTAAAGAAACTCCAGGGAAAAATGGTATTGGGTATAAGCTGGGAATGTTTCCTAGGAACAAATAAATCCCCTTTTAAAGGCACAATCGTTTAGTTGAAGGTTGTACAACTAGAATGCTGGGCGGCATAGAACTTTTTCCAGTCTAAAAGTGCAGAAGATTGCACCCTTAATTTCCTTCACTAAGATCACCTCCTTGTTCAAAAATATGTTGAGATGGTCTGAGTGACACTGAATAAAAATTAATATAAACCATAACCATCTGTTTGCTTCTAAATTTTAAATATCAAACCTAACATGGTAAAAGGTGACTTTTATCATTTAGTATTACCTTGAAAAGATGTGAGTGACATTAAAAGTGATGTGTGTCTGTTATCTATGAAAATACAGATTGCTTTGCAAAGTCCAGCAAATCGGAGTGTATTCATGCTTTTACATAAGTAGCTTTAATTTAGTCAAATATTGCTGCATATGTTTCAATAGTTACATGGGAAGGTGAACTAGTGATTAGAGTGTTGGGAGTGGGACCTAGGGGATCTGGATTCTAGTTCCCACTAGGTGATTTTTGTCTTGTCATTGACTCTCAACTTCATCTACCTCACAGGGTTGTTGTGAAGATAAAATTGAAAGGAGAATAGGGTAAACTGTCATGAGTTCCTTGAAAGGAAAAAGAGGATATAAATATACTAAGTACAGAACATTAAGAAAGTTGCATACTTCCCTAGAGTGGGAACCATGAAACAGTGAGTCATGTTTATATCAGTGAGTTGAGTGCTACATTTTATTTTAAGGGGATAACTTTCTAACCACTGACTCCACCTGGCAACAGAATTTCAAACTTATTTGTATCATGGCCAATAATATACTGCTACCACTTGAGAATATGTCTTAACATAAATGAATATCTTATTAGATCAGCTGGCTGCTGGAAACAGTAGTGAAATATTAACCTACTTTATGGTTCTTGTTAAATGGAACCAACAAGGCACCTCACATCTTTCAAATAAACACATACCTCACTTTCACATTTTTGCTGTGACAGGATTTAGTAGCAGTAACCTTTGACATTTTGTGCAGTTGGCTTGTACATGCGAATGTGTATCACTATTTAAAGCCTACCTCAATCTGTTCATTTTATTGTATTGCTATAATTCAATAGTACAGTAAATGTTTTGAATAAAATTGCAGTCATATTTGTAAGCCATCCTGAGCTGTTCATCAGAAAGGACCGGATATGAATGCTTTAAATAAATAAATAAACAAAACATTTCAATGTTTTGAGGACTATGGTGGTGCTGTGGTTTTCACCATAACTATATAGAAGAAAGGATTTAAATACAGATAATTTAAATTATATAGATAAATTGGATCTAGAGAACTTTGTCTTGGCAGAAATTGCAGCCTCCTTTACATACAAGGAAGTGTTTTTTTTTATTCATTCAAGGTACCTTTGGAATGTTCTCCCCAAGGAGATCTGCCTGGTGCCTTCCTTATACTCTTTTTGGCACTAGGTGAAGTCCTCCCTTTTTAAAAATTATTTTAATAGTTAATGCCACTCAATCTTCTTTGTATTATTATTTGTATTGTATTAACATTGTACTTTTAAGTGTTGTAATTAGTTTTTTATTGTGCTTTATCTCATGACTGAGCCATCCAGAGGTGCTGTGATACAATTAGACAGCATACAAATGTTCTAAACAAACAAACCAAGGAACAGATCCCATTGACTCCAGTCCAGTATATGTAAGTTACATGTGGTTTAGAACATGTAACTTACATGTGGTTGTTAACAACTTATTGTTGAGAAAAATTGAATTGCAATGATGGGCTTACTTCTAAATATTTTAAAGGTTGCCACTGAGAAAAATGATAGAAGTAGCTGTAAATGCTACTTTTTAAACAGTGGTCTGGAGAAGTAATGGATAGTTAAGTTTACTTAAATATAGCAGTCAGTGAAGACTTTCATTGTTCATTTATCCACAGCAGGGTGGATAAAAATGATTTATAAAAAATTAAAATTTGGATTTTTAAAATTTAAATTGGATGTTTTAAATAAAATACTTTTGAGGAAAAACTGATCTAAAGATAATTGTCTATTTAAGATATGTTATAGTCCAAATGTTATTCAACATGAAATAAGGATTAATTTTTAATAAGGTTGCATGAATATGCAGCCTCATGCTAGGTTGAAATTCTTGGGTAAGTGCATTCCTTTAATCCATTGCGTGTCATGCTCTTCCAGAAGTTTCTGTAAGGTTATCAGGCAAGTTTTCTGTCTAGAAGATATTATCACAGATGTTTGGTTTTATGGTTCTTAAAACTGTGAATTTTTCACAGGCCTTTTCTTCACAGCAAAAATGTTAAACATAGAGTTGAGAAAAAGACCTTAAAACTATGTATACAGAATCAACCCCATACCTCTTAAATGCTGTGTTTCAAAACATTCAATGAATAAAGAAGTTGGTTGGGAGTGGAATAGATCTGCCCAAGAAGCTAAGTGAGTGTGAGGTGGGGGCAAGCAGTAAAAAGGAAAGTGAAACGTTTTGAGCAGACTACTCCACAAGTCTTTAGGTGTTTTTGTGTATAGCCTGAGGCTTATCATATTATTCTTTCCTCAGAGGAGAAAACCTATAATTGCAGCAGGCCTCAAAAGAGACCCAGTTTGGGAAAATTTTATGAAGTTCTTCTACGTACAAGTAAGGCAGGCACGTGTGCAAATTATGTAGAAAAACATGATTTAAATCTAGTCTGACTAATTATTTAAATCATGATTTAAATCATATCTGCCCTGTGTCTGATGTTTTCTACCACTTTGAATGCATTCTTGTCCTACCACTATGTATGGATTAGGTATTTATCATTCCTATTTCCACTTGTTTGAGGCTACAGTCATGTTTAAGACGCTATGAACATGTTCACAAAGAAATAATCAGTAAATTGTTGTGGAAGCAAACTGATGTATACTTTCTCATGTGGACTTTAAAGTATATTTATTGGTTTCATTGATATTTTGTCCTAGTTAATCAAAAAAAAAGAGACATGTTCTTCTAAAAGTGCTGCTGGGAAGCTGCTTGGATTAATTGCATATTCTTCTGATAACCTAAACAGAAATGAATTGATCTTGAGAACATATATACAGTCACTCTGGCTTGGCGCTACATGCTGTATTCTGCACGCACAAGTGGTGACTGGAGGTAGAGTATATATCCTGTGGTTCTCAGCCAAGGCAGGAAGCCAGCAGGAGGCATGACTAGAGATAAGGTAGCACATTGAAGGTTTGGAATTGAATAAATCTGGTCTCCTGCTTTCAAGGAGCTGTCGCTCTGCCAGCATCACCAAACAGAGTGAATGTTTTTAAGTGGGCTGTTGTGAGTTCTCCTGGCTGAGAGAGCAAGGTGTTGGCTTCCAGCACAAGCTTGCTGAGGGGAGATAGTAGTCAAAGAGAAGGCTTGATTTTTGCCTCTGAATGGATATAGTTGGAGTTTGGCTCTTTAAAATTGTGCTCTTGTCATGGTGATGGCCATAACTATGAATTTTAACCTAACATTTTAACATGTGCCTGAGAAATTTATGGGATAGTCTGGGGAAATTTGGGAGTACCCCTGTAAGTGTGGCTATGGATAGAAACAGTATGGTGTTCAGGGCTGAACAAGGCAGCCAAGGAGAAGAGCGGATAGATACTGTAAGCTTATATCCCTCCTCTGGATCTTCTCCCAACCAGATAGTTCCTGATTGTTGTACCAATTTTCTCCTAAGGTCTGGTTTTACTGCTGCAAATTTCGAGGTTGACCCAAAATAAAATCTTTGTATATTCATGATTGAATTGTGGATTGATGGCTGCCCTGGTGTGCATTACTGAGACCTTCAGGGTGGAAGAACTGGGAAGAGTTTGTCTCTACCTGCTCTCCTGGT